TGTCAGCATCGGCGAGCCAAATTGCCCAAGAGCTCACACGGATAACGAAATCCGGCCATCAGCAACTCGAATAAGTGCGATGAATGTGGGAATCAATAATTTTCACCGGAGTACAAGCGCATAGCAACTGCGCGGCGACTGCATTCTTCAAAACCTGGCCAGTCGAGCTGTGACGCATTCGGGAGCGATAAACCTTTAGTGGCCTAGAACTACAACCTATATATCCAGCAACACCTGGGCAATTTACCACTCCTATCCGACTCTGTCGCCGATGATGGATTCGAGTCAGAATCCGAATTGTCAGGCTAATAAAGCCCTTGTTCAAGCGATCGTGTTTACATCGTTGCAACTACTTCCTGGAACTCGCCTCTTCGCTTTCATTAACCGTCGTCAGCCAGTTATGCCCAATCGCGAAATGTGGAACACCCGGGGCTCGAACACGCGACCTGTTATTTAGAAGTCCACGCCTCTAACCAATGGACCACAGGCCCGTTGTCCTGTCGGGAATTTACAATGGCAGTGGGCGCCAACGATCGTTCTTCCGGTATTCACTCGTTCTGTTGTGCATGCAGGCTTTCTCTCTCGAGCCCAAGGAACAGCCGCACAGCGGCACGGGATATAGGCGTCCACTATCACTGTATATTCCCGATCGAAACCGAAAGGATAACGGGCTCGCGGCCCAGTGGTTAGAGGCGTGGGCTTCTAACAAAAAGGTCGCGAGTTCGAGCTTCGGGTGTTCCACACTCCGGGTTGGGTACGACTGACTGACGACGGCTAATAAGCCAAAAATAGCCATTCCAGTTTCCCTTATCTCTGTCGGTTATAACAGTCTGACAATAATCCTAAGATATTTCACTTACTTCGGGGTGCCGGCATTTGGACGAACTATCTTCTATCCGCCTGCAGAAACTACGCTCTGAACAAAATGATTACGCACGTAGTAGGAATTTCCTTATTGATTTTTGACGTGCTTATATATTTACATATATTTTGTAGATAACATGTTAAAGATATTTTCCCTAATATTTTTGGCAGAAAATCACGCTTCTTCAACTACCATGCCTCAAGGGGAGTTATAAATTGGCATACAATTTCTTCGCCTCCGAACTGGTTTTCTATCTGAACTGCTTTTAAAACTACGGTCAGTGTTTCAAGGCCATAAGCTGTAAATCTTCCGTGTACACTAAATCACAAATTTTCATATGCTACTAATTGGAGACCATTTACGGCTTATAAAATCAAACAGTGAATTTGTAGCATAATGTAAACTATGCAGCAGCACATAGTTTCTGGAGAGGACATAAAAACGCTCATAACTAGAAGTTTTTAATACTGATTTATGCCGTTACTCTAGGTACAAAATTTAAAGAAGCCGTTATTTTATTACAGATATATAAAGTGATCTAACTCATGAAATATGTCGAAACTTACGAATGCTTGCCATTCATTCTCAAACCGGTATCATTTCATGAGTCAAATGTCTATTTTAATCTAGGACAACTGTAAAGGATTAAAAAAATTAAAGGAATGTTTTAAGCAGTGTTGCATTGTTTAGAAATGTCGATTTACTTTGAAAAGCGCAATATCCCGAAAAGGTCAAAAAGAACTCTTTATAATTGCCGAATAATTCGAAGCCTGATCAGTCGTTGTAGTAGCGCTCAGTGATTTCAATCTGCATGGTGCATGGATTCCGCGAAAAGACTCTCACATATTCTTTTATACCTTCAAAAGTAAATTATATAGACTCCATAAAATTTTGCAACGGACGCAGACTATGCTGTACTTTTCAAGAGAAGCAGTGGTAAACGGACAGAAAGGATGCTATATGAACAGACATTGCGCGGTCTAAAAAATCTTATAATGAGAAACTTTTTAAATCCTGTTTATACCTTTTTCCGAGCATAAAATACAAGACTGACGTGATTCTTTATCAAATGACTGAGAGAAGCTATACTGTTGTTCGTGGCTTCTATAAAACATATTCGACTTTGCAACACCATCGCACACCAATGGCTAAAATGCATGCAACTTAAATAGTCATTTTTTTTCGAGTACGGTCACTACAGGAGATTGAAAAATAGTGTATTCAAAAGCTGGCACCCTGCGGAGTCCGAAATATGGTAGGATTATGTCGTAAGATAATCAATATTACAAGCGCGCCTAAGTGGTCCTTCCTGATCAAAAACGCATTTCAGAATTTCAGCCAACATTTCATGAGATCGGTCATTCACTGTGGGCGTTCCACCCACACGCGACTCGGATCCCTCGCTGTGGGAGTTCCATAAATGCTACATTAAGAAGGAGCTATTGCAGCCCGATCCTCAGACTACTAACCGAACACTACACACTAACACAAACAACACTGGGCCGACTGCGAGGTCAAGTTATCCCCTCAGTTGGCAACCTTCCAAGCCACGGCTTTTAGCGCCCCGTGATAGCTTCAAACGTGTCAGATTGTTTATAGTGAGGAAAGTGCGCTGAGTCGTCGACCTCCCTCACCTTTCCCACACCCACACGCCAGCCACTGTCCGAGCCGGTCAGTTGACTGGAGCGGGGAATGGGCGCGGTGGTTGACATGATTCAGTGAGCTTGTCTGCGCGCCACATGCATGACCTGGCCCCCCAGACACACATACATCAGGACTTCACACAACGGGGGTCGAGCGGCGTAACTCTCACTTGCGTGAGAGTGCCGTAGAAAGAGCTGTTTTTGTCCGGCCCCCAACGCACCAGTCCG